AATTTGACTTAATTGGTTGCCTAATTGATTTTTTTTATGAATTAATTAACATTTTGTCCAAATTAGTAGGCTGTCTCATCCAACTATTCCGCACTATTATACACGCGTCATGACGTTGAATAGGTGCGTAATCGTTTTTAGTCATGCAACTCTATTGTAAATTTAAAACATTTAAAGTACTGAATATAAAATTCATAAAAAAACGTTTTAACAACAAGCTTTTATGTAATAATACACTAAAAAGTAGGAAATAAATTATAGACTACTATTTAAATAACTGTAAAGAAAATCGGAGGTCTCTTCCTTAATATTAGTAAAGGTATCAAATATATACTAAAGTGACCAACGCTTTTCTTTAAAGCTATTTAAATAGTAGTGTATAATTTATTTTCTACTTTTTAATGCATTATTACATAAAAGATTGTTATCAAAACATTTTTTATGATTTTTTTTCCAAAAACATATCGCATACTCTGGTTCTAATTTGTGGAACAATCTCAATAATCAAACATTAGCTATATATCTGAAAATATATTCGAATCTAAACTAAAACAACAATGGTTTAAAGACCTCCTTAACTGACTCATTGCAACATTTCTCATTCATCTATTATTTATTATATTCTCATTGTATCTCATTTTGTATTGTAACTGTAATATTGTTTCTTTATTCCAAATCTTTGAATGCCTCGTTACTTCTATATGTTTACTACTTAATTGCTTTTTATTACAATGCCATTATTATGTAGTTATTTTTTTTCATTAAACGGTTACTTTGAAAAAAATATCTCCTTGCCTGCTGTTGTTATTATTATTAAATAAATAAATTGAAAAACTTTGAAAAGTAGCCCAATCAGACAATAATATCTGAGTTAGTAGAAGAACTTACTTTCGCCGAATGGTTTTTTAGCTGGTCTGGCTCCAGATAACCCAATGAGAACTCCAACAACACAGTAGAGCAACATTTTGTTACGATAAGACTCGCCTCAGCCTTTCTGTTATATTTAAACAGATGATTTGATGAGGTGAAGCGGCGTAGACAGGAGGGTGTTAAGGGTTAACCACCCCTCTCATTGACTATTTCATATATATAAATATATATATATATATATATATATATATGCCTATGATTTTATAATGCCCTATTCCTGCTTACG